TTGACCCTCCACTTGAAGGAAAGCGAGGACCTCCGCGAAACGTTGTTCAAAAGTGTGTAAGTCCTGTATTACTAGAAGATCTTTTAATCTCCTCTTCACTTGGCCGCGTAGCCGAGGCTGAAATAAGATGATTGGTGCTGAAAAGATATTAGAATTGTATGCGACTAACTTCAACAAATTTGTTCGCGTTTCTTTGCCACGTTCTGTCGATGTGCCATCTGCAGTAATGCAACTGGGCACGCGAATTCGGGAAAACCGAACGAAAGCCGTTGTAGAAAGACGGTGCTTCGTCGGTCACAATTTGAAGGGGGTTGAAATCGGGGACTAAGTTCCGGATCTCGAGGAAAAGTTTTTCCACATCTATCGAGGTCATCGTTCCGCTCAGTAGGAATGCTCAAATAGTGCGTGTTCACTTTAGGTTATTTCATTGAAGTCTTTAGTATCAGATACCTGCTGGAACGCCGGCATCTCTTTCATTCAGCACCATCACTGTTGCCAGCTTGAGATTGTAACGCGTGGCGTTGTGGGTGTCATCAACCGAAATTCCTCTATGAGAGAATTTCTGCAGCCATTCCACTTGTTGGGGTGTAATGATGACTGAAAATAATTTTTAAGTGTGCAAATTCATGACAACCTAGGTGATCCTCACTCAGTCAGTCGAATCCTTCTCCTGTAGGGTTTACAGGCATCTCGAAGAGACGAATGCCATCGTCTGGATTCTTCTCTTTCGCCCGTTGCTCCAAGGACAGCATATCATCCATTGTGACCATATCCAGGTCTTAGACCGAAACGATTTGCAATGTCTCCAAAGGTCCCCTTTGGTAACAAAATGCAATCTCGAAGTTTTGGCGGGGTAGTCCTTCCTGAGCCGCCTTATGATGTACTCATGAGAGTACTCTGAAAATGAATATTAAGGCGAATATCTAGCTACATCGCGTAACACACCTTCTAAAAGTCCTTTCAGGAAAAGTTGCTGAGCCGCAGTTAGGCGTAGGAGGGCAGACTCGATTGTATGGCCGACATGGCCCAAGCAGCCCTTGACGCTTACAGCACCGTTCTCCTCTACCTTAACGTTAAGGAAACAGGAGCAGTGCAGAACGTCCCTCTGCGTGTGTGTGGCGCCGGTTTCGGTCTGCTTAGTGCACTTGCCTGCTTTATTGCATCTATAAATAAGTGATTACACTGGAGGCTCGTATGTAAAAAAGACAACTTATTGTGCACCTTAAACTTGTGGTGCCTTTAGACTTTGAGCTGTCTCGCGTATAAAAACTTGCTTCCACCATGTTCTTGCTGCTCTTCTAGCCATGCCTAGAATGTCTTATTCGCAGAGGATAGGGTATTAGACCAGAAGAAAGGAGGAAAATTGCACCACAGTCCTGCAAACTCACGTCAAACTCTCGCTTTGTTTCGAAAAAGAGCGTAAAAACTGTGTAGTCCTGCGGCTCTCCACCTGCTCCGTCTTCAGCATGTTCCTCCTGACAGTGCATCGCCAAGCGCTCGTGGTTTCGAAGCGCTCCTCACAAATAGGGCAAAAAACGGACTCCCTTTCACCAGGTGCTTCGCGTCCCACGTTGGCTTTCATTTCTTCTATTTGCTCAGTGGTGTAGAAGTGCACAACGCGAAAGTGGGAATAAAGATTCCTTCGCATAACGACGTTCTTGCACTTTGGACACGTCTATAAACTGCTTGACATAGCTTTCTGACAAAGTAATGAATTTCTGTTAGATTCATGGCAAATTGAAGGAATGGAGACAAGTGAGAAATTGAAGGAATGGAGACAATTGAGAAAGTCATAAAGGAATCTGGTAATAAGACAAAGAAAGAAGGTCCACATCTGTGTACAGCAATGAAGCAGCACTTAGCTTGCGAAATTATTTCATAATCACGAGCTAAATCACGTATACCACCGTATTTCTTCATCTCCTGTTAGGACCAGCTTGCTTGTCCAGAGATGACAGCGCCTACTGTAGGCATTCGAAGTTGGGTAAGCCTTGATGGGAAGGGAAGTCAACATCGATATTGCTCTCGAAATCATAGCAGTGGGTTCGCTCTTCAGAATTGAGTGACTACCTCTGCTAGACCCGATAACAAATCGAAAATGTGGTGTGGTGGAAGAGAATACACTAACAAAGTGTTGAAAAAGTGACAAGTGAGTGTAGGTATACTCGAAATCCCTGAGATCGGGTAGGCGTGGCCGCATGTTTCAACTTAACCTGAAGGTGTCTATGCTTCTGGTGGAATATTTCCATCTTGACACAACTGTTGTCGTGTCTCTGTCCAACACAGAACAAGATGACAGTTGTCCCAGACTGGGAATATTCCACGAGTAACCAGTTCCGTGCCATGTTAGAATGCCACGCCTACTCTGGCTCAGGGATAAGGAGTGTACTACTTGTGAGAGCCGCAAGTATGCTTCGATGTGAACGAAGAATTAAAAACACCTAAGATAGTGAGAAAAGTTCGAACAAGCACTTTGCACTTCAGTAGCTTCAAAGCTTTTCAAAGTGGTGCATGAGAGTGTCTATAAAGAAAAAGACCAGGAAGTGCTTACGGATTACTGACCGGTTTATTAAGCTAAGCCTATTTAATAAGATAAGCCTATGAAGAATAATGTCCTTAATCTATGTAGTAAGATCACCAAGCTTCTTCCAAGCTTTTGTGCAATGATGCGACTCCTATAGTAAACTTAATCATTTTGCTTCCGACAAAAGCTGAGTCCTGTGTGAAAAAAACTAAAAACCTAACGTGTGGTACTTCCCGACGCTGCTATCAGTCACAGTTAGAAAATATGCTGTTTGTCAGTGGTTAAATGCACGTTTAGCGCAACAGTGAAGAAAGGTGGAATCGCGGGGGGGGTGTCCGTCCAACTGGTGCTGGTTGAACGTTGAGGTTGGAATCCCAAGTCCCGGAACC